ACAGAATTAGGATTTTAAATACGATCACTGTGGGCCCACCTTCTCTGTTCCAGTGAGGAGTGCCCTTTTCTCAGGCCCTCTGGAACACGCAATGCTCTGAGCCCACCTGAAAAGTGAGGAGTCATCTGGCAAACTGGGGAGATTGTTCCAAATACGGTGCTCGCTTACTTAAAGGTGGAACAAAGGTGTGCTGCAGGAGAACAGAAGGTTTCTCTACTCCAGAACCTGTCTTCTTCCCAGTTCTATCAATAGAGAGTTACTTAACTTACCGAGATCCTCTTCTGAGATACAGATATCCTCTGGGACAGTTTGATCTATGTCAACTATGTCCTAGCATGCGTTGTTTTTAATTTGACCACCACTTAGCTCAGAAGAGTCTCAACTTTTATTGCACACAATGGAAGGAGAGAAAGAAATGTACAGCTAAACTGATTTTCAACACTTCTATCCATTTCCCCCCTCCTCATCTCTGAAAGATTATTCCAGACCCAGCCTCTGAAACCGATCCTGTCCTTATAGAGAGTTTGAGAAATTCGGTCAACATGGCAGCTGGTCCCACTCATGACTTACACCAGGTTTTTTTCTAACCAGGTCCTCATCTTATTTTCTGAGCCTGCATCTCTCCTCAGACAACACTTGGTCTGGTGGTCTAGTTCCTCTGAGAACTAGAGGAACTGAATCTTTATCCAGTCTTCCCTCCAACTCCAACCCTGGGGCAGCTGGGGGCTTCTGTCAGACTTGCAGAAGCCAGGAACACCTCCTTCCAGTCTCCCCATGCTGGCTGCAACACCCACCCAACTCCAGTCTGTTCGAGTCCTATTCTCCCAGCATCTGACAGTCCCGAAGCGTCTGCCCCTCACTGCCCTTCCAGAACGTGTCCGGTTTGCTTTTATGTTAGAATTACGTGGGGGAGCTTTTCAGATATGTTGGGTTTCGATCGGATTAGTGAAAGCAAACTCTCTAGAGATGGGTCCAGTGTACTGATACTTTCAAAATTTTCTAGATAAGCCTCACATATACTCAGGAATGAGAGTCACTACGCTATATTAATTTCTCACAAATCTCAATGTGCACACATATAACCTGGGGATGTTGTAAAAATGGAGGTGCTGGTTCAGTAGGTATGGGTGGGGCCTGAGTTTTCACATTTCCTACAAAATTCCAAGTGTTGACTTTGATGTTGTCCATGGACTGCTCTTTAAGTAGCAAGGCCCCAGACCAGTGGTTCTCAAAGTGTGGTTAAGACTCATTTGGGAAGGCGCCTGGATGGCTCAGTCGGTTGAGTGTCCAACTCTTGATCTCGGCTCAGGTTGTGATCTCACAGCCATGGGATCGAGCCCTGCATCTGGCTCTCTGCTGAGCATAGAGACTGCTTGGGATCTCTCTCTCCATCTCTCTCTCTGCCCCTCACCCATGCATGCACATGCACCTGCTCTCTGGTGCACGCTCTCTCTCTCAAATAAATATTTTTTTTTTTAGAAAAAAGAATCACTTGGGGACTTGTTAGAGATGCAAAATTCCAGACCTCGCCCCAGATCTACTAAATCAGAAACTGGGGATGGGATCCGGCAAAGGCTTTGACAAGCCTTCCAGGTCACTCTGATGCCTGCTACAGTTTGAGCACCACTGGCCTAGATGGCAGTGTGCAACCACGAAAGCCGCATATATAATTCAAAATTTTCTAGTTGCCACATTAAAAAAAAACACAATTAAACAGGTAAAATTCATTTTAACAGTTTCCTTAACCTAGGATGTCTGAGGTATTCACAGTTCAATATATAATCAATATAAAATATGAGTTTACATTTTTTTATAGTAAGTCTTCAAAATTCAGTGTGCATTTTACAATCATAGGACATCTCAGTTTTGACTAGTCACATGTTAAATGCTCAATAGCCCGTGTATCCACCATATTGGACAGCCCAACTCTAGACTTAGAACAGTGATAATAGTATTAATTTTTATTGAGTGCTGGCTATGTGTCAGGCATTACTCGGTTAAGCATTTTATGTGATTATATAAGCCCTACCACAACCCTGTGGACTGGTACTATTACCATCCCCATGTTATACACAGGAGGGGTTATGCCAAAGCCGTTATCTGTTGTTTCACCAATATAGGAAGCCCACTCCCATATAAGCATCCGCAATTATTGTAAATCATTTTGTGTATAAAAACCAAAATCAAAGAGAGAAAAAAATATGATAAAATCATGAAGATTACTACTATTAGAACAGTTGCTAAGACATCAGTCGCTTGTAAAAGTCACGGTGGTTGGGCGAGTAGAAAAGACCAAATATGCTACCTTCTGATTTTTAAAAATGTGCCAAAAGTCCAACTTGCACTCTTCTGTGCCAGCAAATCTGCTGAAAGGTGTTACCTGCCTGGCTGTCTGGACAGTTGGGATCTCTGGGGAATGGCGGGACCTTGATGAGTCATGACGCAAGACAGGGCTCATCCTGAATGCAAGCAGCTAGCAGGATCAGAACCTGTCCGTTTAAGTGGAGACTGTGATGTAAAATGACTCTAGTAATAGCTAAACATGAGGCAATGGGCTTCTCTCAGTGTTCGTGTGGAAAGCAGGAGGTTTGGAATTTAAAGGTAATGGCTGCCTTGGTGGTCTTCCTTTCGTTAACTTCCATAGTGTTGCAAAGACAGCCCATTTTCACACGTATTTTTCTTTTCATTATAAACTATACAGAGGAAAAAGGAAAAACAATTAAAAAGAATTTCTATCTGAGGCTCGAATTTGCCAGAATTATTCCCATCTCTTGTTTTGCCAAGTAAAGTACCCTTTTTGAAACTGGCAGGGAAAAAAAAAAAAAAAAGGGGCGCCTGGGTGGCTCAGTCGGTTGAGCGTCCGACTTCAGCTCAGGTCACGATCTTGCGGTCCGCGAGTTTGAGCCCTGCGTCGGGCTCTGGGATGGCCCAGAGCCTGGAGCCTGCTTCTGATTCTGTGTCTCCCTGTCTCTCTGCCCCTCCCCCATTCATGCTCTGTCTCTCTCTGTCTCAAAAATAAATAAATGTTAAAAAAAAAAATTAAAAAAAAAAAAGAAACTGGCAGGTATTGGTGACATAGTAAAATGTGACCATTTAAAAGAAATGAACAGAAAAATACATGACTCTAGAGAGATTTTTAAAATTCTGCTATGTATTTTTAAAATAAATTTTTTTTTAATTTGATTAGATATTTCAAACTTAAGTTATAGGTTTTTTTTTTCATTTAGAGGTCTGTGTAGTTTTTTAATTTTTTAATGTTTATTTATTTTTGAGAGAGACAGAGCATGAGCAGGGGAGAGGCAGAGAGACAGAGAGAGGCAGAGAGAGAGAGAGAGAGAGAGAGAGAGAGAGAGAGAGAGAGAATCCAAAGCAGGCTCCATGCTCTGAGTTTTTGGCACAAGGCCTGATGCGGAGCTCGAACTCACAGACCCAGACCTCAAGATCATGACCTGAGCTGAAATCGGACACTTAACCGACTGAGCCCCCAGGCACCCCATCCGTATAGCTTTATAGTGTAGGGTAGCTGAAGGATTTGACTATTTTATCACAAGACTTGAAATAGTAGTCATGTAACCGTTTTTTTTTTTTATGTATCATGCATAATCTCTAGTATTTTCTATCATCAGTTCCAGCGTCTTTAACTGTAAAGACACAGTTGGACTTGATCTGAGCCTCTAGCAACCAACCTTCACAACATCCATTATCAAATACATCCAGGTGGTTTTCACACTGGACTAAGGATCAGGGACCCTTCTCCCACCCCTTCTTAGCAGTGCTTTCTCCCTGCCTAAGCATTCTCTAGGTTACAGGAGTAGAGAGACAGGGAAGTCAGGGATTTCACAGACGCGGAATACAGGTTTTTAAGAAAATACCTAAGTGTGTTTTCGGGTAGGAAGTAACGGATCTTCCTTCTTAGGGGTGCTGTCAAAGGCACAGTAAAGCCACAGAAGCCAGAGGTTGGTCTGATGGCCACCCATAGCATCTCCCTGCAGTCCCAGTCGACAGAAATCCCGATCTCCCGTGGCCATGGTTTGAAGTCTCCTCATGTGACCAAGAGATTGTAACAAATGCTCTGTATTCTTTATTCTTGCTGCCTCGGTGTGCTGTGAGCCTTCTGAGGCAAGGACCCTGTTTATTCCACTCGCTCTTGTTATTCTCACCATGTGTGACACACGGGAGGCTCGCAAGTACCGGCCACACAAATTGCTGAATGAATGAATGAACAGCACTCCTAGATCTTAATTTATAATTCTAGAAATAAAGTGAAAGCCCCAAGTCTGCTGCTCGTTGTTGGTGACCCAATCTGAATTACTCCTTTGGAAGCACAAGCAAGGGATCCGTGTCTGTCTGCATCATGTCACTGAATGGTCCCCAGTCGCTGCCAACAGATAAGAAATGTCAACAGCTTAACCCAGTAGCTTTCAAAAATAGCACAGTTGACGAAACTGGAAATTTAGGTGCGTGCGAGAAATAAACCATTTGTGTTCAGGCTTAAGAAGGACAGGGTGACAACAGACATTCCTCGGAGAGATCTAAAATATTTTTTAAGACCCCCAGAAGCGAGTAATCATCAGAAGAAACCTCCTCCCTCTCAATAAGGCACAAAGAGGACACCTTCTTTTCAACACATCAGGTAAGTCATTCGGAAAACCTGAGGATTGCGGCATGGCACCATGTGTCTTTAAGATTTCAGTCAAGTTGTTTTTGCTGTTGTCGTTTTCAACAGTGCTGGCAGTTTTCCTCAAAATGTAAATGAGTATTTGTACAGCGAACCACGTTGTCGTGGGTTTCCTGGTTCGTGCCCCCCCCCCCCCCCACCACGTGGGGAAAGGGGGAGGGAGGTGGCGACTCAGGGAAGGCTTTTCCATCCCTTTGCAGACAACTCCGGCCGCTGTTAATGCTGAAAATAGCTCAAATGCTCTCAGAACAGTGGCACCACCCAGCAGCTGGGATTCTTTCCCTCTCTTATTTGCCGTCTCTCTTGCCTTTTTTTCCTTCAGACACTTGCATTGGACTTAATCTTAAACCTCTGGAGTTCAAGACCTTTTAAAAAGGGCTAAATAAACAACCTCTACATGTAAAAGGCCACTGACTCCTACTTCCTCTGTTTAGAGCAACTGTGGAGCCCAGCTGCCTGGAGGTAAGATTTTTTTTTTTTTTTTTCCCTTCTGGAATTATTTCATTGGTTTCTGATATGTGTCTGACGATCGTCTCTGACATAACTCATTTATAGCGAAGGTATGGGGCGGCTGTGCACGATTTGCAGGTAAATCTGGTGTTCCGGAATACAGCAATGGCATCTGGACACTTCTGTGGCTGTACTTTTAAACTTTGCTCAAAGCTCTCTGTCACGTTGACCTGTGATACATACTGGCCTGTGACTGAGCTACATCAGAGCTCCAATTAACCTGACGGCCAGCAGTGAGAGGGTCCAGACATCGTAATTTTGTTGTTTAGACTGTTTACTTATTTTTAACTTTCTAAGGGCATGGAAAAAGGAAAAAAAAAGGAAAAAGCTGCAACCACCTGAGCCAAGAAAATGTCAGTAATTAGTCTTTAAGGAGAATGAGATAGCTCTATTTTATTTTGTTCTTGGATCACCGCTTTGTTCCTTGCTAATGTGGAAGAGGTTTTTTTTTTATGTTTCATTTTTTAAAATTTTCATGTTCCTGCCACAGTTCAGGTGACCTGGCTTTGAAAATGCTTTACCTAGCTAAAGGTCTTCGGCTAGCAGGTTTCTGTAACGGGACAGTACAGTATTCTGGAAAGTCTTCTGTGCCTCTCCCCTCGTCCTCCTTATGCTCATGCTTGACATTTTGCAAAGTACTTTGATCTGTGGACTTTAACTTCAAACACAGCAGTTAACTTTGATTGTGGGTATTTACTGTGTTCAGTGAAACGACTTTTTTTTTTTTCTCAATGCTTTTATACCATTTCCTTTCAATCTATGTGGCTTTGGTTTTCCTTACTGATGATGTCTGAGGTTTTACTTGTATAGGAACTCCTAACGCAAAGGAAAAGACTTTTATGGGAAGGTCTCTCACCTCTCACCACACAGGCTTTAGGACAACTCTCTGCACCCCCTCTGAGCAGACGTGTGAAAGCATCGAAGGACGGTGCATACAACCTGATTCTATCAACCCCTCCCTTGAGTTGCCCTGTTGCCTCAAAATTACAATGTGCCTTGGGGCCTAATGTTGCTTTTTCAACATGGACACTGAAATCCTTGGAATTTAGATTCTTGTCTCCAAAGAAGTTTATTTGGTATCTCAGACCACATGGCAAAAGAAAACATGCATTTTAAACACACTGATCTTCTGGGTAACTTTTAAACAATACAAACAGACAAAAAATTACAAGAAAGACATTTTCTAAGAAGGAAAACTAGGGGAAAAAAACAGAAAGAAAGAAAAACGCTTTGTAGCCAAAAGTCTGCTATGTGAGTGAAACATCTGCTAAATGAGGGATAAGAATTTTTTTTTTTAATGAATTTCTTAGAATTGGCCAAGTGGAACAGTTTCTCGCCATGCAGTAGGCTTTTAAGTGTTCTCTTTACTTTGAAGAAAACTCGTGTGTTAATTACATTGCTCTGTTAGCCTTTGCTTCCCTAGCCCAAGCAGAGGGTGTTTTCAAAGTCCTCTGCTAGGTACTGAGCTTGACGTTCCCTGGCACAGGGTCCCCGTGTGTTGTGTTCAGGTTAGGAGTAGAACGAGCCTAATCCTGTCAGGAGACTGCTTCAGTCCCAGCCAAGGAAGTGGCTCCTTACAGCGAACACAGTCTGCTCTCTGTAGCCTGCACCTTGCTGGGAAGGAAAGCAAGTGGCCGCAGGACAAGTTTTCAGAGGGCTGAAGCTACAGAGGATGCTATGGGTTCGGAGGTCCCTTTAGATTCGAAATAGAGGCAAGATAAGCTCTAGAGTTTGAGTTTAGTAGGAAAACCTAGAGATGCGCCCTCTGGTTTTTCTTTCCAAAAGTGGGACATTTAATTGCTACCTTTTTCCTTTCAAATCTGCATTTTAAGGAGTCTCTTCATCCTCACATTTCTGCATACAAATTTTAAATCCTCCGGTTACTTTGAGCACGTGCTTCACTGCTTCCTAGGGCCTTGGAGGGTCTAGAATTTTCTCCCCCGGAGTACCAGGAAGCCTTGATTTGGCATTGATGAGCGCAGATATATGCTGCAGGCAACATAAGTTTAGTTGCAGAATACAGTGGCACCAAGATGAAGTGCATGTGGAGGATGACAGACAGCCATTTCATTCTCTGGCAAGTCATTTTTTTCTGTTTCGCTCTTGTTGAGCGGTTTTCTGTGTGTTTGCCTCTTTACTTCCCTTCACCCCTTAATTTTACTCTGAAACTTGGGATTGTTTGAATGTGAAACTCAAGGTGAAAGCTAGCCAAAGCCACCGAGTTTCACACAGGTTCCACATGAAAGAAGTATTCTACCCAGGCTTGCTCGAAACTTGGCCCATGTTTTACCAAAAGTTTCATGAATGTCAGTGAGCCTGGACTTGAAACACAATCCAAAACTGGTGACTTCTGGTGACTTTGAGGCTTTATTGTGTGAGTATAGAATCTGTCAAACAAGGACACCCATTATTTTCATATCTTCTACTGTAATTTCATGTGTACACACATTTTCCCCAATAAACTCTCATTTGTTCGGTGGTATTTTAAGGCCAGGTTCAATCCTAATATGAATTTTTATAGCTGTGGTATTTAAACATTGGCAAATAGAAGTCTGCATTTCAAATTCCAACGCAGTCTGAACCACAGTGGTGTGAACGTGTTGGTGTAATTCAGCTGAAGGAAGGAAGTCCCAGGAGAGTCATGGAATGTCTTTCTTTGCTTAAATATACCTCTGTGCTCATGAGGAACAAACAGTAACATTTTGTCCAGGTCTATCGGCTTGACAGTATGCCTTTTGTTCCCCCTCCAAAGGTGGTGTCAAATATATTGGTGGAAAAATAATAAACTTCCAGATATTTTTTTTTTCACCTGCTCAACCGATACACTCCTAGGGAACATTGTAAGCATTGAAAAGTTCAGTACTATTACTTGTAATGTAATGTATACTGAGAATAAAGGAGTACTCAGCAGACTCAATTTCCTTCAGAAAAGCTGGGTGACCTAGACCTGATGTGTGTATTAACAGTCAGATGGTGCAGGGTTTTGAACGTGTGTGTGTGTGTGTGTGTGTGTGTGTGTGTGTGTGTTTATGTGTTGTAAGTAGGGGTAGTGGTGGGTAGAGAGGAAGAGGGGACTTGTGAGCTTTGCTCAGCAAATCTGTCACATCTGAAACAAAAAATAATCAAGCCCAGGATCTGAAAACATTCCTTTCTTTTGTTGATCACATAAATACGTATCGGCTGAACACTGAATTGGGGGGAAGGGGATATTTTTCTCATTAAAGACACCAAGGATTACATTCTGATCACTAGGATTCCAGAAAGGGTAAATAATCTCTAATAGAAACATGACCAGTTAGGAGACCTACATAGCTAGAGATGAACTTGCATGAGTCAGTTTCAGAAAGATTTTAATGCTACTGTGACCACTACAGGTGCTAAGACAGCCAGAGAACTGAGATTTGATGATGTCTTTTTATTAGCTGGAGGGTTTCTGAACTCATTTGAGGCATTTTCCTCAAAATAAATTTATAACCTCACTAAAGATTTAGTTTGACTAAATGTAGTGAGATTTACAGTCATTCGTTTATTTATTTTTATTTATTTATTATAAAATTAAATTGCCATCAAAATAGTTTGAAAATTTTATAATCTTATTCTTTTAATTTTTTTTTTCAACGTTTATTTATTTTTGGGACAGAGAGAGACAGAGCATGAACGGGGGAGGGGCAGAGAGAGAGGGAGACACAGAATCGGAAACAGGCTCCAGGCTCCGAGCCATCAGCCCGGAGCCCGACGCGGGGCTCGAACTCACGGACCGCGAGATCGTGACCTGGCTGAAGTCGGACGCTTAACTGACTGCGCCACCCAGGCGCCCCTAATCTTATTCTTAAAATAGGCTTGTCAAAGATACAGTTTGCATTTTTGCAGGCGATGTACAAAATGTACCTGATCCCGTACTAAATAAGGCCTTTGCAAAGCTGACAGTAACAAAGATCTCCTGTGTAAGAGCTGCATTATAACACTGACTTATTCATAATGTACTATATCTGATTTTGTTATCCCAAAACTAATACAATAGATGAAAGAAAGATGCACAAATGAAGGTGCTAGAGGAAATAAGAGAAAAAAATGGAGGACCATTCTACCAGGGGGGGTTCTCCCTAAACACATCGTTGCACCAAGAGTCTGATATTTTGAAAACTATCCTCCATAATAATACATAAAGAGGGAAAAGGTAAAAATACCAGGCTGACAAATGCCCATCAACTGATGAATGGATAAAGAAGTGATTGATATGTATTGTGGGGGGGTGGGGGTAGGGATGTGTGTGTGTGTGTGTGTGTGTGTGTGTGTGTGTGTACATACATATATATACATTCTTGTTCCATTCACATACATATAATACATTCTAGTTCCATTCACATTGTTGCAAATGGCAAGATTTCATTCTTTTTGATGGCTGGCTGATATTCCATTATATATGTATGTGTGTGTGTATATGCACACACACACACACATACACACACACACATACATATATAATGGAATATCAGCCAGCCATCAAAAAGAATGAAATCTTGTCATTTGCAACAATGTGAATGGAACTAGAATGTATTATGCTAAGCAAAGTAAGTCAGAGAAAGACAAATGTCATATGATTTAACTCATATGTGGAATTTAAGATACAAAATAGATGAACATAAGGGAAGGGAAGGGAAAATAAGATAAAAACAGAGAGGGAGGCAAACCATGAAAGACTCTTAAATACAGAGAACAAACCGAGGGTTGCTGGAGAGGAGGAGGGGGATGAGCTAAATGGGTGATGGGCATTGAGGAGGGCACTTGTGATGAGCACTGGGTGTTATGTGTAAGTGATGAATCACTGGGTTCTACTCCTGAAACCATTATTACAGTATATGTTGACTAACTTGGATTTAAATAAAATTTTTTAAAAGGCTGAAAATAAACTTCAAATTTGTGCATATGCAAATGTTTCTTTAAATCCTAAA